CCAGATTCATTTAAATCAATTTACAAAGTTCATATTCCACATCAATTTTGGCTTATGATATCTTTGATACTATGTTCATTGCTCACATAAATATATGTTTGCCCAAAAGAAACTTAAAACTTCAGCATGGAGAACTCTGAATGAAGCTAATATTCTCTGTACAAATTTTTGGAAGAAAAAGAAAACGAAACGAACCTTTCAGGATCACCTGGGACTGGAACAAGAGGAGTTATGACGTAATATCCATTCTCAGTCACCCCAGATATGCTCCTCGAACGTGGGCCCACATATATCGACTTTTTCTCATCGAAAACTCCTCTACACTGTACTCTCCTGAAACCCATGGAATCCACACTCCCATTGGAAGACACAACTATGTCGCCCTTAATTGGTTCCATTTCTAGCCTACTCTTTCTATACTCCAACATCTTTATCTACAAATTAAGCAAGAAAATAAATAATTAAGTAAACCAATTGAGAAAAAGAAAGGTCTAATTAGAATATAAGGGGATTTCTTCATCTTCAAAGCTCCGTCCCCAAGAAAGTATTGATGGAGGAGAAAACAACTCGATGCACTTTATGAGAGCCTAATATTAGCTATATTCCTAAAAAACGGTCAAATAACTCGATCCAGCTCAACAACCACCTTGTCAAGAACCCCAATATCACCTCCCAAAACAACAATATATTATTTTCTTGCAAGTGTTGATGGAGGAGAAAACAAAACATAATATCTACACTTTAGCAGTGCCCATTAATTAAACCAAGAAAATAACCTTTTCTTGCCTCCTGATAATTTGCCAAGTGCCAAGGCCGAAAGTCACAGCCCCTGGTATGAAAAGCAACAGCTTTGACCACGTTGACCTTCCTTGCTCTGCAAATTCTATATACGCTGCAAAACCTCATGAATCGGTCAGTCCCAGTAAAATCCGACCACCAAAAAAAAAAAAAACATCAATTTTCGCGAAAGGCACCTTAGAAAACCGAAAAAAAATACGAGGATTTAAAACTCACCTTGCTCTTTTCGAGGTAAATTGGATATGGCAGGGGTGGAATTGGAGATTAGGGATGAAGGTGGGGCCCATTTAGGGGGAATCGGGGGTTTCAGCCGCCACCGGAGAGTCCTGAAGATGAATTCGGCGGCCATGTTGCGGAGCTAAATTCACCGGCCGACTTATTACTGTGGTAGTTTACGTGCAGCTAACAACTAAAGGTCCCATCTTTAGAATCGATCACAGGCACACAAAACCCTAAAATGTCGATGCTTAAAAGGGAACTGTATGTAGTACATACTGAAAGCTAATTTTAGAAGGTGAGAAATCTTATACCTTAGTTTTGTTTAACAATTATTATTAGACGAATTTATTATTATAATTATTATTATTATTATTTTATTTTTCCGTCCACTGACACTCACAAATTGTGCATAAAATATTGTTTGGTGCTAGACTCAAGCCTTTGGGTGAACCGAACCGTTTATTAATTAACGTGCTTGGCTCAGCTTATTAGCTAAATAAATGGAAACTAAATCACTTATGAAACAAGTCAAACAAAGCTCTAACCAAGCCAAACTCACAAATGCCTCACTTCATTTAACATCTCTAATTCCAATATGATGTTATTACTAGTGTTAAAACTTTGTGTGAAGCTTCACTCTCATTCACTAACTAGTGAAAAAAATATTTCATTGTACATTTAGTTATCTACAGTTGAAATCATAAAATTATATTTTTCACTCCCAAAGAAAAGTTAAGATACCAAAAGGGGAATTGAAAGAGTTACATGCTAGATGACATTAAATTTCTTACTTGTAAACTACAAAAGAAGAGCATTACTTTAAGATCCTAAAATACAAACATATCATTTGCAATTGTTTATGGTCAAGCAACACGCAAAAAGGGAATAAAAAATTTCAGCTAATTTACAAAAATCTTCAGCAGTTCCGCAACACTTCAAAATGTGAGACCTCAAAACTCATCATCTGAACTAACAAAATCCAACTCAATCATATTTGTGCTATTTTCTTTGTTATCTTGTGTTGGGGCCTTTTTCTGATCCATTTTCATTTTCTTGGCAACTGGTTCTTCAGTTGGCCTGGACCTGAGTAACCGGCATGAACATTTTTTTATTATTGAGCAAACTGATAATCAATCAATACATAAATAAGAAAAGAAAGAGAAAAAAAATTAATAACCTGGTATCAGTTCTACCCATTGGCTTGTGTGGGAGATTAGCTTTTCTATTTGTCATTTGAGGATCCATTTTCCCTGTTATGCAATTACAACAGAACAAGTTAACAAATAAGAGGACATTCATAGATTAACAAATAGTTCTTCAACAGCCACAGCCTACCTGCAATGTGATTTAGAAACCGTATTCCCTGAGAATGTACATTTGTTGTGACTTTGTCTGCTTTGCTGTATGACCAATAAAGTTGAGACTTGAGATTTAGAATTGCAAGGTGAAACAATAGCATTTTTTAGCTAAAATATCAAAAACTACAAGAATCTACCCGGGAGGTTTGGTCAATTACAAAATATATCACAAATCTTTCAATTTTTTTCAAAAATTTCATTTAAGCTAACAATAACTTCCCCTGAGGTTTAACAAATACCCTCATCTTGATGATGTAGCTCGTAAGAATGAACTATATCAGTCAGTGCTTAAACTATTATCAAGCTCTTCAATAATCAGATTGAAGCTCAATCCAATCTTTTGCAATTACTTAACTATGAACGCAAAGGAGTGAAGCAAAAGTAAGAAAATTAGAAAGTGTTTCAGAATGGGATAAATTTTTGCCATAATGGAGCGTGCCCTATAAACTTGTCTTGTAAAAGGAAATGGATTAATTACGCTTCATGTAGAGAACTATCAAGTTTGATTAGTTCACACAGACCTTAATGCCTTCTTTAATCCTTCAACAGACAATAATTTCACGGGCCGAGTGGACTTTGCTAAGTTCTTCCTGTCATCTGTGGGTTTAACAACATATATTCCTTCTGGCTTGAGATAATTTTTGAAGCCTGTGCTTACATTCCTACAAGTGAAGTTGAAAATAATGTCACCAGAAGAACTGAAATAAGAAAAATTACACACCCTCAATAATGGATAACAATCGCTTACCCGCCTTTGAGCTCTGCCCTCGTAGAAGTATATCTCGTGGATGAATTCTTTCCACCCATACATACACACACACAAAAAAGAAAAAATGTAAAATCAATGAGATGATGTTATTAAGTGGGCTAAATTGGAAAATACAAATTTAAGTTTGACGGATGCACACGAGCAGAACCTTATGGTAGTTGCAATACTTCCTTTGACGTCTGCAGAGGGGAAAAAAGGAAGAAAAAAAAAGAATATTATTGGTTATTTAAAATGCAATAAAAAACACATCAAGTTTAACAGTTCGGAATTTATGACATGACAGCCAAATGAAAATAACTGCTCCTACTGAAACTAGAAATGCAAATGATCTGAAAACCAACACACTCCCTTGTTTGATAGTCCATGAACAGCAATGGAATTACATCCACCATTTCAATTACAATTCAAATCTATGAAGTATATAGTGATGGTGTGATGCTAATTCATTAAAAAAAAATTCAATGCAAATGTTCTTACTTGTTGATGACTCTTGTGCAAGCCACTCCATCTTTCCCTTTTCCCTGACAAAACCCAAAATCCGCTGATGTACCCAGCTTCAGAATGTGTTTGGCTGCATATACACTCAAAGTAAATCCATTCCCCTGAAATAAACCCAGAAAAGAAAAAAAAATTGTAGACCTGAAAGAAAAAAGAAAAAAAAAATACATAAATAACCATTATAATAAACGTGAAAGTTCGTACAATGCTGTCCTTGCGGACACTGCAATTAAACAGTGCAAAGACGCCCCCTATCTTTTCATCGCATCTCTTTTTGTAAGCATCACCAAACAAAAAAAGGGTAATAATATTATCATCCAAGCATCCAATTCTCCATCTTGTAAATGTCTGCCCTATGGAACTAGTTTTTGTAGTTCCTATTTCCATGAGAACCCCAGTAGTGGCCCAGCACCCAGAGAGAGTATCTCCTGCTAGCAAATTCCTGAAAAAATGGTGGATAAGAACCATCAGTTGCTTCATGAAGAGGCAGGCAGACGAGAGAGCTAAAGTATAGTGTGCAGAGTGGCATACTTTATTGTTGGTAACTGCACAAATCTAATGTCCGATAAATGGTTGCTCAATTCAACCCGTGATACCAATGGACCCCTAAGCAATCAAAAGAACAGGAAGAGAATTAATAGAAGATACAAAAGTGTGCAGAGATTAGTACAGATCCACTTGTTAATTTGCAAGAGCCCTTAACTGAAATCTATCATGTTTATTATCTCAACTTCTTTCCCTGAAAGGAAAATAAACAATACAAAGCAAGCACATCTTACACCAAGCATTTCATCTCACCATGTGACAGAACTGAATATTAAGAACTTGAAGAAAACTTCTAAAATGTACCAATTTTACTTGATCCCTATCTTTACAACATCACAGATTTCCTAAATCACTTTATGTCGTGTTCAATCACACAGTCCATAATACTTCACAATTTCTGCAGCAAACTCAATCAGGTTTTCATGCATGAAGGAACAAACCACGATGTACATTCAAATAACAAATTCGATAAACTATTCCTCAAAAGAAAAAACCAAAGAAGAAGTTATTGGATTAATATCAAGTTAAAGAGTAAACCTACTTAATCCGCAGCCCTGAAAACTTATCAACCTCAATGTCATTACAACTCTTTCCCTGCCCGGGCTTACGAGACTTCTCAACATTTTTGGCATCATAATCAAGACAGTCCCCCACCACCTCTCGAAAAACAGACATGTCCACGTTCCCTGTCTCCTTTCTCCTCCCATCATCCGATAAATAACCTACGTGTGAATCAATAGATAAACACAAAACATCATCAACGTTGAAAATAAGCATTCAGCACAACCAATCTAATTGAACCAACCCCTGCTACAAAACCTCAAGACATTTCATTCAAACAAAGGCACATCTCAGGACGCTAAATGCTTAAACAAACCACGCCCATATAAACAATACGCAAAAGAAGATAAATTTAAGCTCAGCAAATGAATAAAATCAATTGGGCATAATTACGAACAGATAAAGAGGACCTGAAGGAGAAGCTGGTGGGGTTTCGAGAACGCGATCCTCGAGAGAGAGGAGAAGGTCGAGGTCATCCTGATGATTCGATTTCGCCATTGTCTTTCAGCTGAATTTTGTGTGTAGATTTTGATGTTGCCTGAGCATAAAATCGGATTGGGATCGAGCTAGGGTTTTGTTCCAATTTTTGGAGGGAGAATTTGAATACTATGGAGGGAGTTGAAGAAAATGAAAAAGGGTCAACTTCATTTAGTGAGATGATTGGGCTTAATTCAATCTTCATTTTCTGAGATTATTGGCCCTTAAGTATGGACCACAAATGCAAAACATCATTTGAAATGTTGGGCTTTACTTTTGTTTGGCCTAAATTCACTTTTCAACCTTACCATGAACAACTTTATGTTTTTCAGAAAACAAATTCCTACATATGTATAATTCTTGTAAAATAATAAATATCATTTAACAAAAATATATAATAATAATAATTAAAAATTAAAGACTAGTATAGTCCCATATCAAACCACAGCCACCACTTGTTAAGGAAATTTCTAAAAATAGGCATAAAATTTCANAAAAAAAAAAAAAAAATGAGAAACACACAATTAATCCGATAACAACTCCAAGGCCTAAACATTGTCATCACCCATCGTTTTTTAATACTGTTTTTTCGTGATTCAACATTTTCAAGGCATCTACTAAATTCGACCTCCTTCCTCTCACGTAGAGAGGAAAGAGGCTCGTCCTTTTCTCTTCAAATCACAAGTCAAAAGAAGAAAAAAATTGAGAGTGTCTTGAAAAAAATAAAAAGAAAAATGGTGAAAATTAATAGAATTTTATTGTTGCTCGTGTTATCGTTCCTTGCAAGTGCTTATGGTAAAAAAGATAACAAAAATCGACCGGTTGTAACATATGATTCGCGCTCGCTAATCATCAATGGGACTCGAGAATTACTTTTTTCTGGTTCCATTCATTATCCGCGTAGCACACCAGCGGTATTTTATTTTATGTTTTTACTTTAATTTTTTACCTATAAAGTAATGAAAATGTTATGCTCATATGAAAAAATATTATTAATTTCATGCTTATTCAGTTAATCATATTGAATTTCATAAATATATCCCTAATGTATTATGTTTTTAAGTATAAAAAACATGAAAGATTTTAATCAATGTTTTTTTTCATTAATTGTTGTATTGGTAATTATCAGATGTGGCCTGACCTGATTAGAAAGGCTAAAGAAGGTGGACTAAACTTGATACAGACTTATGTGTTTTGGAATATTCACGAGCCTGTACAAGGGCAGGTAAGTTTGATGTATTATCAAGTTTGATTAAATAATTAATTAATTGTTACTTTAAAAAAAATTGAAATTTGCTAGATCATTGCATGAACATCATCAATTTTTTTCTTTTCTGGTGCAGTTTAATTTTGAAGGCAATTATGATTTGGTGAAATTTATCAAAATGATTGGTGAGAATGGTATGTGGGTGACCCTTAGGATTGGACCTTACATTGAGGCTGAATGGAATTTGGGGTAATTTAATAGTATTTTATGTTTCGATGATTTTATTTTAATAGGGACATTTTTAAATTTATTTTTAAGCTATCTAATATTTGGTCATTTTTGCAGAGGGTTTCCATATTGGTTGAAGGAGGTTCCAAACATCACATTCCGTTCATATAATGAACCCTTTGTGGTAACAATCTAATTCCAAATTCTCTCTATTTCCTGATTTCTTTTTCCTCATTTGACTAACAAATTACAATTGGTGGTTACCTAATTATTTCTCTTAATATGATACAAAATTCAATATCATACAAAGAGTTTTAAAAGAGTAGTGAGTTATTCAGCAATTATAAGAAAAATTAGGTGAATATTTATGTTATTATTTTTAAATGAAAAGGAAAACAATTAGAGTGTAATAAAGTGATTTATAATTGATACACAATTCTTCATGCAGTACCACATGAAAAAGTATGCTGAGATGGTCATAAACTTGATAAAGAAAGAGAAGCTCTTTGCAGACCAAGGAGGCCCAATTATCATGGCCCAGGTATATATGTTTCCATTATTATATAATTATTAGGGGAATAAACAAGTCGAATTGAATTCGAGCTCGAGTTTAAAGTTCATGGTATTCGAGCCCGACCTCGAGCCTTACACGAGCTAGTAATTGAAATCGACCTCGACTCGTTTAGCAATATTAACCAGTTAAGCTTCAATCTTAACGAGTCAAACTTCAGTCTTATACGAGTCAAGCTCACTAAATAAGTCAATTATTAAGCTCGAGTTCGAATCGTTTATTAATATTAACGAGTCAAACTCGAATCTCAACAAAAATTATATAAGATTCTTTTTTTTAGCCTTAACAACCGAGCCAAACCTGAATTTTTAACAAAATGAATTTTCAACAAGCTCGAGCTCAGCTCGTTTATAAAATGAGCAGAGCCTAACTCGAATTTTAATGAGTCAAACTAAGTCCACGAACGAATCGTTATGTTCAAATATTCTAATTATTACTTTCCAAAATCAGATTTAAAAAGGAAAATTAAAAATACACACTATTTTACTAATAATAATTTTCGTACTGATACAGATTGAGAATGAATACAACAATGTCCAACTCGCATACAGAGAGGCTGGGCAGAACTATGTAAAGTGGGCCGCAGATATGGCTGTGGGCCTACACAATGGTGTACCTTGGGTCATGTGCAAGCAAAAGGACGCCCCTCAGACAGTCGTAAGCTTTCATCTAAGGCCCAATAAGTTTAGAAAAAAGGAAGGCTAAAGGACACATTTGTGTCCCTTGAAAAATTGTTTTCCGAAAAGACGAGACTTTTAAAACAATGCCAGTTGTCTGTTTCCATGTCTTTTTTATTTCAGCATTTTCTTGTATAAACTTTGTGTGTGTATGATTTTAAGCTTTAAGTTTATCTTGTGTTTATTACAACTCTCAAATACTTATTTAAAACTAATTTTAAACTTTTGATTCATTATTTTAAATCTACTTACGTTTTCTTTTATAAACTTTTTGTTTATGGTTTTAAGTTTATCTTGTGTTTATTACAACTCTCGATAAAACTAATTTTAAACTTTTAATTTATCATAAAAGTTTATCTTATGGTTTTAAGTTTATCTTGTGTTTATTATCTACTTTATGTTAAATAAAAAAAAATCGAATGAAAAAAAAAACTGAAGATAAACTAAAAATAAGATTAAAAAAAACTCATAATCAAATCATCATAAACATCAAATTAACTATCAAAATTCTTCAAAAACATAAAATATATACTTGAACTCACCAGGAATTGGGATCACATGGGCAAAAAATTCTAACTCTCTCTCAAATACCAAAAGAAAAATAGAGCAGAAATTAAAAACAAATCAAAGCAACTCATAGATCTATAGATCTATCAATGAAACTTCCGAAAAAAAAACAAAAAAAATCAAATCAAATTTTGCTAAAACCCTAAATTAGCAAACCACAACTTTTATCTCAAGGCGGTTACATTTTGAGCCTCAAGGCGGCGGGCGGCGGGAGTAGATCTCGAATCGAAGGTGATGTTGGCGACGGTTCGGAAAGTGCTAAAACCTCCCGCCGGTGGTGTGTGGTGAAGATGGAGAAGCTCTTGTGACGTTGGCTCCGTTGACCACCTTCGTCGGACCTTGTGGCGTGCGCTATTGCAGGCGTGTTTAGTTGTTCTTCGTTCTTCGAAGAGACAAATTGGGTTGGGGGAATAAGAAGTAATTCTAATATTTAAAAGAAATAGATAAAGATGGGATTGAGATAAGTAATATTTCGTTGAAATGGAGAGAGAAAATTAGATTTGGTATTAATAACATTATCTCGTTATTGAGGAAAGAAAAACTTAAGGGGTCATCCGCTAGGTAATTTTCTCAAAAAGGAACCCCTTCACAAATTAGAGTAATAAATTTGAGATATTATAGTGTGGATCTCAAAGTAAAAAATTAAATTAATATATAGTTTTTTAAGTTATATGTTAAACGTTATTTATTTATAATGATATATGAATTGACATTTTTTTTAATGTCTTTCAGATTAGTACTTGCAATGGAAGACAATGTGGAGACACTTTCCCCGGTCCAAATGGGCCCGACAAACCTTCTCTCTGGACTGAGAATTGGACGGCCCAGTATGTTCAACGACCTTTCATGCTATATAATTACGAATAATATTTGATAAAGATTTGCCTAACTAGCCAAGCTCGAACTCTTGACAAACTTAAAAAAGTTTAAACTCAACTCGTTTATAAAAACGAGTCATCAATGGAATGCAAATCTTAATGAGTAGAATTAGAATTTGAACATTTTCCTTTGCTCGTTTTGCAGGTATAGAGTCTTTGGTGACTCACCTTCTCAGCGGGCGGCTGAGGACATAGCATTTGCCGTTGCTCGTTTCTTTGCAAGGAATGGTACCCTCAACAACTATTACATGGTACTCATCAAAATTCAAACGACCATATATATATATATTTTTTTTTTCTTTTTTCTATTTTTATTCTTGAGTAATAAAATCAAAGTTTTATTTTATTACATTTTTTTTTTCATAGTACCATGGAGGGACCAATTTTGGGCGAACGAGTTCATCTTTCGTGACAACACGCTACTATGATGAAGCCCCTCTTGATGAATTCGGTAGATAAATCAGAAATTTTTACTATTGTGGATTATTTGTTAAACACTAAAATGGTTGTTGACTATAATATAATACTAAGTATAACATTTTTAGTGTAAGTATGTATTTTTGTTGTTTAAAACGTATAATAGTTAATCTGCCACTCTCACACAAGAATTTATGATTATTAAAATAGTAGAATTTACTGTTTTGTGAGATAATTTAAAAAAAACCGTTTTAAAAATGATTTTCCTTTGTTCAAGGTTTGAAGAGGGAACCAAAATTCGGGCACTTGAGGGACTTGCACAGGGCATTGAGGTTGAGCAAGAAGCCATTGCTTTGGGGCACTCCACACGTGCAGAAGATTAGTGAGGACTTAGAGGTAATTAAGAGCTAATTAAGATTTTTAAGTAATGATTAAAATAACTAAACGTTATTCGCATGGATTATTAACAAATATATAAATATGTTTTTTTTTTTAAACGTGAATGTTAGATCACGACTTATGAGAAGGAAGGAACAAAAATTTGTGCTGCATTTTTGACCAACAACAATTCAAGGGAAGACGCGACTATTAATTTCAGAGGCGTTGACTATTTCTTGCCAGCTAAATCTATTAGCATTTTACCCGATTGTCGCACTGTGGTTTTCAACACACAAACGGTAACAATTTCTCTATTTTTTTTTTTTTTTCATTGTTTTTATCATGAAAATTGAAACAAAGAATATAATCTTTGAAAGTTACTTCAAATGGAAATCAGGCTTACGGAAAATTTTCATTTTTAGCTGTGCAGTTGAGATTTATGTCATTAAACTAAAAATGAAATGAAAAAATTCACGAAAAATACTATTCATTTCATCTTTTTTTTCCCCCTACAAACTATCACTAACACAATTAAAAATAAAAATTGTTATTATTTTTGCCCTCTCGTCTCACAAATGTTTAAACGAGACATTTATTTATTTATTTTTGAAAAAAGATCTTAGTTTTTGCGACTTATTAGGATTAATTATATATATTATTTTCTTTATAGGTTGTTTCACAACATAGCGCGAGAAACTTCGTACCCTCAAAGAAAGCAAAAATCACTAAATGGGAGATGTACAAAGAAAGCGTGCCAAGCCCACACGATTTAGAGATAAAGAGCAAATCGCCAAAGGAATTGTACCAACTTACTAGAGATACCTCAGATTATGCATGGTACAGTACAAGGTATGCAAAGTTTTTTGGTCTACCACATCGTTTAAAAGGTAGGTTTTCTATTAGGCCGGTTTAACCGTTATGCATATATACTATTTTTCGCAAAGACAAAAATGCATATTTAGTCTCGCTGGTTTAACATTATAGCAATTTTAGTCACAAAATTTCAATCTTTTGCCTTTTGGTCATGTGATTTAATATTTTTCTGCAATTTCAGCAAAATACTAAATCATAAGACTTAAATTGCAACAAATTTTTAAATTATAAGACTTAAGTTGATAATGGAAAATCTGATAATTAATTTGAGAATTTGGTGCAATTTCATTTTTCAAATGACTGAAATTACGGCAAAATATTAAATCAAAGGACCAAAAAGCAAAATATTGAAATCTTTAGACTAAAATTACTATGAAGTTAAACCAGCAGGACTAAAAATGCAATTTTTCTTTTCGCAAACATATACTTTCATTGAAAAAATGTCATATGTTTAAAAACAACATAACTAAAAATGCTACATTTGATGGTAAAAGTATGTAATTTAGTTCACGTAGTATGACGTGCCGCCAATTGTCAGGTTGCATAACACAATAATTTGTATTGTTTAAAATATTTATAAGACAAAAGGCAAATCAAAACAGTGTAAAATGTATTCCTAATATTGCTATTTATTTATTTTTATTTTTTTTGTAGAATCAACTTGGATAGACGTGATTTGCCAAGACGTCCAGATATTCTTCCAGTGCTTCAAGTCGCGAGTCTTGGTCATGCTTTGCTTGCATTTGTTAATGGAGAATACGTAGGTTTTGGGCATGGAAGCAATGTCGAAAAGAGCCATGTTTTCAAAAATACAATTAAATTGAAGATTGGTGATAACGAGATATCGATACTGGCAATGACAGTTGGTTTGCCGGTAATTCGAATTTATATATAGTATTTAACCAATCATGATAATTTAAGTTAATGTAAGTGAAANGATTTATATGTATATATGAAACTTTTTTTATTTTTTTAAAACAATAATTGATTAAAAAAAAAATAATGGTGCAGGTTGGTGTGGAAGGTGAGAAGATGCAATTGTTCACCGAGGAGGGTTCAAAAAAAGTCAAGTGGGCGAGTGCAAATGCATCTCCTTCACCTATTACTTGGTACAAGGTAATAAAATGTAACCAATTTACAAATGAATGAATAAGGCTGGCCTTGATTGAACAATCACTTTAAAAAAAAAAATTACAAATGAATAATTCAAACAAATGAATATTTCTAATTAAGAACATAGCAAGAATTTAAATTAATTAACTACCTTCCAATTTCGTGTTTCCAGACATATTTTGATGCACCAGAGGGTGATAACCCAGTGGCAATTAAAATGAACAGCATGGCAAAGGGTATGGTTTGGGTCAACGGTCAAAGCATTGGCCGATATTGGGTTTCTTACATCTCACCAATTGGGAGCCCCACTCAAGAAGAGTAAGCGAAGCATGAATCCCAGGAATTCGGCCTTATCAGTAACTGCAGTGCAGTTATCGAGTTTTTTACCATTAGATCAACACATACTTCTGTCTGTATATCATGTTGATCTAAAGTGAAAAGCCTCGATAATTGCAGTACATTTATTGATAAGCTGAAGATTTCCGCATATAAGCATATACTAAGAAAGTAATATCACATATGCTTCCAAATTTATTATCATTTTATTTTGTATTTTTTAGGTATCACATCCCAAGAGAATACTTGAAGCCCAAGGATAATCTATTAGTGGTTTTTGAGGAAACCGGCGGGAATCCAGAGAAGATGGAAATTGTGACCGTTAATCGTGACACGATCTGTAGCGTTATCACTGAATATCACCACCCGCACGTCAAAACATGGGAGAGGAAAAACAACGAATTCCGAAATATAACTGACCCGATAAAGGCTGCATACCTCACGTGCCCCGACAATAAGGTCATTGACAAAGTCGAGTTTGCAAGCTTTGGGAACTCGGACAATGCTTGCGGATCCTTCAAGCCCGGCCCGTGTGATTCCACCGCGGTTCACGACCTTGTTGAGAAGGTACTATACAAAACCTTTTTTTTTTCTATTTAATTATTTATATTTATATTGGTTTAAAAAGAATGTTGTGCAACAAATTAATTACACACAATTTTTTGGAAATTTTATTGTTACAGCTTTGCTTGGGGAAAACAACATGCACAATCCCATTTGAAAGGGAGCAGCTGCTTAATGGGGCCAAGGAATTGTGCCCTGATGTGGAAAAGACACTGGCTATTCAAGTGAAATGCGGTAGTCCAAATAAGAGCGATGATTGATTTGTTAATTTATTAATTTGTAAAACTTTTGAGATGTTTTTGGAATTATATTTTAGACTATTTATTTAGTATTGACCGTTTTGGTTGTTTTTGTTGCTTATATTGTTCCCATTTATGCAGAGCAGCATAATTGATAAATGATAATACAATGACGATAAAAGAATAGACAGAGTAGATTATCTAAAAAAGTAGACATTACTCTTTCGTTCCAAATTACATGACATTATTGGGGTGTATTACCTTCTTGCTAACTACTTATTAACTTTATACATGACAATATAATAAAATTAAATAACTCAAGGTCCGCTTCTGCACATGCAAGCCAAATTATAATCTCAATCGCTATTCACCGCCCCCTATTACTACTCGTCGCCCCCCTTTAGACAATTTTGTCCCTTGCATTTTTTTCAAAAAGTAAAAAAAA